ACACACACTTCAGTGAAACTTGAACACATCAGTCAGAATCACACACAAAGACTTTCATACACACACACACACACACACAGTTTTCATATATACACACACACACACACACACACACACACACACACACACACAACAGTTCTGTCCGGTTCTTGAATATGATTGGCTGATAGCAGTGCAATATTTTGCCAGCAACAGCACACAAAGGCCTCTTCACCCTTCACTTTGTGTATTACTCCGCCCACAGTCAACAACAAGCAGGAGACGATCTACAGTTTGATAAATATTGCAGCTGTTGGACAACATAATGTACTTTTGAGGCTTTTTTAAGGGAAAATGTAGTTGTTTAGATTGCAACTATGCAGTATATTTACAAGAATAGTGACTATTTTAAAGTGTTTACAATTTCTTAGAGAGGCCATTAACCTGCCATACTGAGTAGACCTAAGACAGTTGACATTTTCGATCCACAAGATGGCGACAGGACCGCATAATAAGCCCTTAGAAGATTAAAACAGCATAACTACAGCTGATTAAATCATTATGGTAAGTGATATTCTTAGTCGATTTCTTTCTTTTGAATGTTGTAGTGCTGCATTTATAACGTTACCATAAGTAATTGTAGTGCACTGAGTGTGAGTTATGGAACTCGCGCATCAGGAATGTGTGTTGTGTTGGCAGAAAGAAAGCAGGAAAAAGAGCATCTGTTTAGCATTTTTCCTTTTCGCAAACACAACAGCAGTCTGGTAGTGATTGCGCTGCTTTTTTCATAGTTAATTATTGTGATATGGTAACGGTCGCTTAATGTTTGATATACATTGTGTATAAATGTCATTTCCCTTTTAAGAGGACTTCTTCTGTAGTTGTTGTACCTTTAAGATGTAAGCACTCATGAATATGGGCTCAGTTCAGTTTTGGCGCGCTCTAAGGAGAAGTGTGATGGTTGTTCTACCGCTGTATTGTTCTTTTATTTTAATAATATAACATTTTATTTTGCGACGGATGTTTGAGTGTCTTTTTTTCTTTTCCTTTTGACCACTCATTGTCATTGACTGGCATAAAGGCAAAAAAGAAGAGCTAAATGTTTGTTTTTTATTTAAATTCCTAAAAGTCTCCGGATAAACGCTGGTACGCTTGGGCCCCGTCACAATATACCAATTGCAACAGAGAAATACTGTAGACTGTAAAATGCTGTCTTTAAATGTCAGTAAAATCATGTTTTATAATCACTTTAGACATTACACTATAGAGAATCATTCAAACACAAGCTCTAACGTGACGTTGGTGAATTAGTATCAGCTTCTGCTGTTTTGACGTCAGCTGCAGATGTGAACGAATGGCGGAAGAAAGTAGTTCCTCGTACAAAAGGATTTTTGACACTCTCTGTGTTTGATTGTCTTTTTTATATACACAATTATGTCGTCGAACTGTTGTATAAACACAATATCACACTCGTAGCAGTGTGATGTGGCTGTATATCTTCACTGGTGGGCCACTAAGTGCCATAGCATGCCTCCAACCAGTGTCAATGTACAGCCAAATCGCAGTACTACGAGTGTGATATTGTTCATATTTATGGCTGTATATGAACGTATTTAAGCACACACACACACACACACACACACACACACACACACACATATATATATATATATATATATATATATATATATATATATATATGGTGAGCAAAATATATTAACAGTTTGTGATTTAAATGTATTATCTTTCTATTCCTTAAGATGTCCAGTGACCTAACTATTATATGAAAAAAAGTATTGCCTATATTCAACAAGAAATAGATAATATGACATTTTTGTAGCCTATATGTGAAATCCAAATATGAAATTGTATGTGATGCATGTCATTTTCATTTACTTCTGCATATCAGATTTTTTACATGTGATCAATGCAACATCACACTCACAAGAAATACTACACTCTACATTTAGCGTACACTGACAAAATGTGCATTATGAACTATTTACAAAGATATATATTTATATGTATATATCACTCAACAAGGACATGAAAAGACAGTGGAATGGAGGAGGCCACCATGCCCTAACATCTTATAAAGGTCTATGAGACCTACGAAAGAACTGGGAGTGATTAGCCCACTCCCATGACCACAGTATTTACAACACACATTTCCAAATCCTCCTCTGAATTCCGTTCTAAACCAAACATAGTGTATGGGAACCTCAAGATGCTGATATGTTATGACAACTACGATTTTCTGCTGCGTGTCATTACAAGCAGGTCATGTCATCTCCGTTCAGGCTTGCGGACAAAATATCAACACTGAAAATGGATGGAACACCTTTGACTATATAAACACTGTGACGGCGACATGAGGAGGTGTTATTGAGGGACACAGTGACCTCTCTCATGAGTGTTTTCAAGTATTATCAGGAGCATAAACAACAAAAAAGCTTTCTGTGTATACTTTTCACCCTTGAAATATTCTACATTTAGCAATGCTAACAGCTAATACTTTGTCAAATGGGGCTATTTAAATGAAAATACTTAAATCGCGGGCATAAACTGCAAAAAAAAAAAAAGCATTCTGTGTCTACTTTTTATCCATATGGCAGTCTACATTTAGCAATGCTAACAGCTAATACTTTATCGAATGGGGCTTTTTGAGTGAAGAGGCTTATATCAGGTGCATAAACTGCACAAAAGCCTTCTTTGTATACATTTTAACCATATGGCAATCTATATATTTAGCAATGCTAACAGCTAATACTTTACTGTAAGGGGCATTTTAAGTGAAGAGGCTTTTTTTCAGGAGCATATGCTGCACAAAAGCCTTCTGTGTATACTTTTTAACCATAAGGCAATCTACATTTAGCAAAGCTAACAGCTAATAATTAATCGGAAGGGGCTTTTTGAGTGAAGAGGCTTTTTTCAGGAGCATATACTGCAAAAAAAAGCCTCCTGTGTATACTTTTTAACATATAAGGTGGACTACATTTAGCAATGCTAACAGCTAATACTTTATCGAAAGTGGCTTTTTGAATGACACTGGTAATGAGGGCTTTATATCAACAAGTACTTATAATCATAACAGCCCTCTTTTCTCAGCCGAAATGTGTATGTCGGTCAGCTTTGAATGCTTTTGAAAGAGAGAACGGTGGATTTCTGTTGGGGATCTCAGAGTTTGTATCCATATATCAAGTCCTGGTTTGATTCCAGACTTAAACTTGGGTTAGGTTTCTGAATCCAATCTCCCAACTGAAGTCCAGCTTGTTAGTTTGATGGGTAATGTGTGGGTTGAATGTACATACGAAGCGCACTGCAGCAAGATTTCTCTTCGAGGACTTGAGGTTTTTGGTTGGTGGCCAGGAATTGCTATTGATTCTTGAAACAGATTCTGGCTGCTCGTCTGCACTTCGGTCCAGTAGTCTTTATCTTTCCGTATGGCTAGTTGCGAATATAGCCTGTTGAGACTCTTGTCTCCCAGCGCCTTGCTCTGCGGTTCTGGCATTATTAGGTGTACAAACTGCTTGAATTTAGAGCATCAGTTTAAAGCACTTTTAGTAGTTTTGGAATATATGCTTCATGGCCAAGCTGGGAAAGCTTCCAATAATACTTGTTTTGTTGTTGATGAACAAAATAAATCAAGAAAGGAGCTGTTGGATTTGTGGAGATATTTTGTTCTTATATCACAGATCGGATTTTCAATCCTGCTCTCGTGATCAATTGTTCAGTTCTGAGTTTGGATAATTTCTGTAAACTTTATGAATCCATCCAGCGTAGAAGGCCACGTTCACAAAAATGGCTGGTCGGTTATGCCTGGCACATCCTCTGCCATTTATGCTCACACCAACAATGACTTTACTGTTACTCTCTTGACATACTAGAGGGCCCCCGTAGTCTTTCTGTAAGCATGAAAATAATGGAGGGATTAAAATTAATATTTTGAAATACATCCAAAGAATCACAAACAATGTCAGCTATATAAATACAATAACATTCAAAAGTTTGGAGTCTGCAAGATATTCTTAACATATATATTATGTATAATATATATATATATAATATATATTTAAAGATCTTACAAAAGTTGTAGTTATGATTTTAATTAAAAATACAATAAAAACATGTTGTAAAAAATATATATATTTGAATAAAAATAAAAAAAACGTTTTTTAAATTTGAATAAATATTAAAAGGATTTTTTTATGTTGAAATTTCAACATGCATGCGGAGTAATACACAAAGAGTAAAGAGGCTGTACGAGTGCTGATATTACTTTAATATATCACAGCTATCAGCCAATCAGATTCGAGAACCAGACAGAACTGTTGTGTATAAATATATATATATTTAAATTTTTTTGAGAGGTGCACGTCAGTGACGCCGACGGCTGCGGTGTAGGGCTATGCGTCAACGTCGTAGCATACGCGTGCATTTGACGCAGAAGTATAAATCAGCCTTTAATCATTCATGAACTCCTGATGCACGTCTATCTAGTGTGTTTATGCTGAATAACAATAGAAAAGAGTTCTGTCGGCATCAACATGAAGAGTTTAAACACAGAAGTTCATGAGTAGTTAAGGTTGAGTTAATGATAATGTGCCCCTCCAAGTAAAGTCATGAGAATGTATTAATTATGTCATAATTATGTTATAATGTATTAATTGCCATAGCAGTTTATGCTTAATTTAACCATCATAAACTCATGAGCTGTTAATGTATAATGATATCATGACTTTACTTGGAGGGGCACATCATCATTAACCCATTCCTAACTACTCTTATGCTGAAAAACAATAGAAAAGCGTTCTCTCAGCATCAACATGAACAGTTTAAACACAGAAGTTCATGTGTAGTTAAGGTTTAGTTCATGATAATATGCCCCTCCAAGTAAAGTCATGACATAATTATACATTAACAGCTCCTGAGTTCATGTTGGTTAATTAATACATTAATTAACATGTATTAGCAAATAATTATGCCGTTATGCACACATGAACTCATCTGACTCATGTTTTTGATTAGCACATGCCTTAACTCATCCTTAATTTATAATAATGTTTAGTTTACATTTTAATACATAATTATTCATGAACTGTTATTGTAAACTGTTACTAATTTAAGTGATCCAATCACATGTGATCCGCCAAGATGCTTTCTTGATTCCATATTAACGCATTTAAATGCATTTCTTTGTGACCTCTTAATTCACCGGAGCACTGCTGAATGAATGAACACGTGTGGTTTACGTGACTGCAAACTTTTGAAAAGTAGCACAGTAAATCAGACGAATATTCTCACCTCACAAACTCCTTCATCTCTTCTGCCACCGGCACACAGTTTAGAACTAGTGATGGGAAGAGTCCCTCTGTGAAGCTGCTGGCATCGTTCATTGCTCACTATGGGCAGATGAACTCTTTTCAGCGTTCCCTCATGTCCAGTGCCTGAGAAAGCCAGAAAAGACTCTATTAGGGAAGCAGCAGTGTGCCAGTTTTTTACACTTAGCACATTTATTCAATCTGATACTTCACATTTATGTGCCTTCCCTCATCCTCTGCTTTCACAATGTTACACTTTGTAGTTCCAAACCACAAAATGCTTCCAAAATACTTTCATCATCAATGGAAAAACTTTTAAAATCTGTGTATTCGTGTTGCCTGGAAACATGACTATAACTTTGTTGTTGAACTGTGTTTTATTGCTTTTATAAGTTCTAAATATTTGGAGTATTGTGTTCACTTTTTTTTTTTTTTTTTTTTTTTTTTTTACTAAAGTCCTGGTTAATTTCAGATCCACCCTCTATTTCAAAAATACATTCAAGTAATGTTTCTTGGTGCACAGAAAAAACTGTTTTCTTTAACTTCCCAAGGCTTAGTGGCCACAAACCTGGACAGCACATTTTAGCTCTAAATTGACTATTTAAAATGCTTTGAATGTTTTATATTTTGTTACAAACATAATAGTGTCAACCTGCAACTGTTTTGCAGCATATGAAATGTCCCAAACGCTATTTTTAACTGTCTAAAATGGGCAAAAAATGTGGTTTTTACTCTCTGATAGTCAAAAAAAAAAAAAAAAATATATATATATCTATATGCATTAAAAACAGCCAGATAAAAGTGTTTTATTTAAGTTCAGACCACAAGTCCACTTATATGGACACCATTTTGCCCTACAAGTAAATCATATCAAAAGATGAAACTTAGGTTTTATTATAATTATGTTCCAATAAGCCCAAATAGCAAAAATAACTAAAAAAATGCATGTAAAAACACCTTTGGCCCTCAGAGGTTAAATGTTTTTGTGCTTAATTTGAGCCTGTGTCCTGACATTTTATGCTACCCATCAGATTATGCTAACAACGTTTCTTGTCTTTGAATGGTTCTGAGGTTGGAGTTAGGGATTAGGTAGGTTATAGGGAGATATTACAGCTTCATATCACACTACTCCACATTCATATTTACACTGGTGAGTCAGCATGGGTAGCATATTACATCATCAAAATGTGCTACTTTTTGAATGGGGGTAGACAATCTGACATTTATTGGCCCTCAATAATATTTTCAACCAATCAGTTTTCTTACATTTACAATCACTCTCATATCTCAGCAGCCAAAATAAATAATGGCATAGTGGCCTACCATATAATAATATTCGTATTTTCAAAATGGCAAAAAGGCAGTCAAGCATATTTACATTTTAGAACCACAAGTAAATCTGATAAGGAGCCTGATCAAAAGAGATCTTGAGAAGATGGAACTGTGCCCCTGGATCAGGACAGCAGGAGATAGAAGCAAAGCAAAGCAAGTCAAGTCAACCAACAAACATAACTGAAGAGGTAACTGTGGACTCTTCTTGAAGATTAGACAAAGTGAGTCAATTTTTTTTGCTTGGACGTAAACTATATGTCAGTGGTGTTAGTTTACTGAATTCTGATTTCTGTTTGTAGCTACGTGTTTGTTTTATTCATGATTGACCGATAACGTTATATGGCACAAAACGATAAAAGACCATTCAGAAATTTGTTGACGTCATGTTTCAGGAAAACTGAAACTGTGTGACGGACGTCGATGATGGTAACTTTTATTTCCTGGTTTTGTTCTGGAAATTATTAATTTACAATTTAAGCACTGTTTCCTTCCCATTTGTTTTTTCAGGAAAATAATCTGAAAAATCAAGAAATTATCTGCCCATATTAAAAAATAGCAATACAAATAAAAATAAATAGCTTAGAGCAGGGATGTCAAACTCAATTCCTGGAGGGCCGCAGCTCTGCACAGTTTAGTTCCAACCCTAGTTAAACACACCTGATCAAACTAATTGAGAGCTTCAGGCTTGTTTGAAACCTACAGGTCAGTGTGATGGCGCAGGGTTGGAACTAAACTGTGCAGGGCTGCGGCCCTCCAGGAATTGAGTTTGACATCCCTGGCTTAGAGAATTATCTTTAAATCTGTTCACAAATCTGCTGAGACAACCTTTTACATGGGAATAGGGAGAAAGCCATAAGCTGAGAGTGAGGGCGGGGCTGACCTTGTTACTATGGATGATCTCATCATGATTACTAACTATGCACACAGTTATTGTCCAACAGGGAGTCTCTGTCAGTGATTATTCAAAGAAACTAGAGTGATATTATGTTACCATATTCAAATAAAAATTTCAACAATAAAAATATTGAAACATTTTAAAATGCAGACAAAAAGGAGAATTGCATTCAAAAAAGTTCCTTACTTTTAATGTTTAACATACATCTTCTATTGTGGTTACAAATTAATGTATTTCCGTAGAAAATATTGGAGCAAAAAACATAATATACATTTTATAATATAAACGTAAAAAATATATTTGAAAACATATTTCTGATCATATGGGAAAAGCTTTATGATTTAATTGTGGTCAAATCTTTTAAAAAACGTTTTTACAATTTACTTAAGATATTTTGTGAATTCGAAATTCGGGAACAATTTTCTGACAAAAGAGACAAAAAAAAAAATAGAAATAAAAATCATACAGAAAAGTGACTTTCCCTCAGATGCTTTCAGAATTACTAAAACCACATTTGATATTGTGTGAGGTCAGCTGGTTAGTCTAGTTAATCTGATAACATCATCTATTAGGGCAAAATCATAGGCTGGGTCTAAAATGGCTTATACTTCCCTAAATAGTACTCTAAAATCAGTAGGCAAGATAAGTAGCATGTCCGGATTTATAGAGTTCGAAAAACAAGTGTGCAAGAAGTACCCAGATAACCTACTACCAGCAAGAGTAGTAAATTCAAATCCAAATGCAGTACCTATTAAGTAGTAGGTGATTTTGGACGCAACCATAGACTTTTTTATGCACATTAAATAATTTATTAAGTAAATGTACAAGTTCTTTCAGAATCGGAATATCAGATATTTCACAATATAATTATGATGTTTAACAATATTTGTATAAAATGGAAAATGAAATAAAATATTCACAATTTATAAGTAACTCATTTGGGCTGTGGTGTGTCGCATAATAAAATTTGACGGGTTAACACAGGAGTTTTAAAGAGATGCGTTCTAAATAATAATCACAATCAAAAACTCACACAGGAAGTATTTAAAAAGTTTTAAATACTCACAACAGGAGTACTTAACACTTACATTTGAAAGGGTTAAATATATGTATGTGCTGCTGTGCATCCCTGTGTGTGTAATAAGCAATTTGTATGTTTGTTTTCACATACAAAATCACTGACACTCTCTTTAAATAGCAATAATTGACTTCAGGCCAGTTTTCAGTTGGTCAATGGCATGGTCTATTTCATTTGCTTAAAAATAGCAAAAGTAAATCAGTCAGGTGGTGTGAGACTCTGAAGTTGAACGTACCTTTGGTTTCCCCCCAGCCGTACACAGAGCAGATGGTGTCCTCCTGAATGCTGCAGTCTGCTACGGGCAGCTGAATAACTCGGACACGCTCACTCGGGAGTGCAGGTCTATGTGAAAGAGGAACAGAGAGGTCATTTTATCAGCAATTGTATTAGACGTGGAATACATTATTGGTAAACATATTAAACCATCAACAGGTCTTACTGGGAAAGGCGGAGAAGGGCGAGACTAGAGTCTTCTGGGCCACAGATGACATGCGAGATTCTCCTCTCCTGTCTGTGGAAGTCATTCTCACCTGATTCGTTTAGATGGGTAATACCGAGCCAAACTCTGTACTCTGATAGGTCAGGCACACTGGGGGAAATTAAGTATGTAATTAAATTGTGTTCTTAGGTTTTGGACATACAGTTGCAGTCAGAATTATTAAACCCCCTGAATTATGAGCCCCCCTGTTTACTTTTTTTTTTTCTCAACTTCTGTTTAACGGAGACAAAATGTTTTCAACACATTTCTAAACATAAAAGTTTTAGTAACTCATTTCTAATAACTGATTTTTTTTTTGTCATGATGATATTAAATAATATTTCACTAGATACTTTTCAAGTCAGTTCTATACAGCTTAAAGTAACATTTAAAGGCTTAACTAGGTTAATTAGGTTAACTAGGCAGGTTTGGGTAATTAGGCAAGTTATTATATAACGATGGTTTGTTCTGTAGACTATCGAAAAAATATAGCTTTATATTTAAAAACTGTTTTTATTCTAGCTTTAATAAAACAAATAAGACTTTCTCCACAATTAAAAAATATTATCAGACATACTGTGAAAATTTCCTTGCTCAATGGTAAACATCATTTGAGAAATATTTAAAAAAAAAAAAAAAAAAAAGGGGGGGGGGGTGGGGGCTTATAATTCTGATTGCAACTATAAATATTCACATTTTTATTCATTTATTTTGTTTATTTCTTTATTAATATTTTTTGTTAAACTTTTTATGCCCATTTTTTAACACCGTAAAAACAGTTACATCTAAATATACATTTTGATCTTATTTTATTGCAAAAACATGGTAACAAAAATTTATGTTTTTATGTCCATTTTCTACACATTCTAAAATAAATAGAGAAAAATAAATCATCTAAATTAATAATATTTTTTGGAATTTATTTCTTTTTTATTAATTTAGATTGATTTAAAATGGGGTGAAGCCGAAGGAAAATGAATGACTGAATATAATAATATTGTAATTTAGAGCATTTGTTTCCTTTAGAAAAAAACAAACAAAAAAAAAAAAAATTTGTGATCAAAAATCAGGGCCAACTATTGTGTTCTTTAAATTTCTGAAGTTAACCCCTTCAGACCCTGCGTCCATTACAATGGACATCACATGACAACCCATTTTTTTTTAAATTTGGAACATAATTCAGGTCTGAAGAGTTTAAAACATAAACTAGTAGTGTACAAATCTAATTTGCAGTTTACAGAACTAAAGCTACTATTTACTCAAACACAAAACAAATGCTGGTTAAGTTGATGGTTCATTCCGCTTTGGTGACCCCTGATGAACAAAGAGATTAAGCTGAAAGAAAATGAATGAATAAATGATTCAAAATGCAACCCTCAAAAATACAAGTGTGGATGAACGCAACCTTGATTATTTTATTTTTATTTTTTTATAAAATTATGCTTTTATGTCCATTTTCTACACATTCTCAAATGAATAGAATGAATCTAAATCAGGGGTGTCCAAACTTGATCCTGAAGGGCAGGTGCCTTGCATGCCTTATCTTCAACTCCCTTCAACATGCCTCCCTGGAAATTTCTAGTATACCTAGAAAGAGCTTGAATAGCTGGTTCAGGTGTGTTTAATTGGGGTTTGAACTTAAATTTTCAGGACACCTGGCCCTCCAGGACCAAGTTTAGACACCCCTGATCTAAATAATCTAAATTAATAAATATTTTATCAACTTTTATTTCTTTTTTTATTAATAAATTTAGATTAATTTATAATGCAACACTCAAAAAATACTGGGTTGTTGCAATTAAACATTTGCTCAAATATAGACAAACCCAACCATTGGGTAAAAATGTGTATCATAAAGTTTATTGAAAAAAAAAATCCAAGGTTGCGTTCGTCCATACTCGACCCAACACTTGTTTACAACAATCCAATTTATTTCTGAGTGCAACATTACAGCACTTTCAATCAACTTCATTCATTAATTTCCTTTAGCTTAATCCATTTAATCATCAGAGGTCGCCACAGTGGAATGTACTGCCAACTTATCCAGCATATGTTTTACACAGCAGATGCCCGTCCAGCTGCAAACCAGTACTGGGAAACACTTATACACACACTCATTCACACACATACACTACGGCCAAATCAGTTCATTCAATTAATCTATAGCGCATTTCTTTGGACTTTGGGGGAAACCCACGCCAACACTGGGAGAACATGCAAACTACACACAAAAATGCCAACTGACCTCGCTTGGACTCGAACCATTATATTACTTACTGTTAGGTGACAGTGCTAACCACTGAGCCACCTGACGCCCTTTCAATCAACTTTGCGCAGGTTAAGTTGCAGTTAAAATGTTCATAATAATATAGCTTTTTCTTAGACTCATTTAATAGTCTTGATTTGCATTGGGGATTAAACTACAGTATGTTTCCATGAGCCCTTTTAAATCTAAAGACCAATCTAAATTTAATCCTTCCTGATATTGACCTATACATATTTCATAGACATGCACATACATGGGTGTCTGGTGCAATGAGATACAGGTGCTATAAGAAACAGATACTCGTCATGCTCTAAAAACATCCGCAGCTTTGATTTGTTAAGTTACATGCATGAGACAAATGAGGAACGCTGGTGGATCATTGACCCCCAGACCCTGAGCATCCCGAGGTCACGAACAGGCCACGGCGGTGAGCTGGAGATGATTACCATGAGGAGAAGCAGTCTTTGTCTGTCAGCACCCACTCCTCCCTGACCAGAGCGCCTCCACACCAGTGACTGCTCCTGAAAACACACACATACAGATCCAACATCACACTCTCATATCTCAAACATCTGACCTCAGGGAGAACTATTCTGGAGGAGATTCTACTGTCAGGCTGCCTGCGCTGGGCTTTATAGAATTAGAGAAAGAGTGGATTTTTCCTGAATGGTTTATGGAAAGGGGCTACCTTTTTTATTTGGTACTGCAAATAAAATAAATAAATATAATATACCGACTGCAAGGCTACTAAGCATATATAAACAGTTACAGGCAAATTTATTAGCCCTACTGTGAAATTTTCAATCTTTAGAAAATATTTCTCATGTTATGTTTAATGGAGACAAAAGGTAACATAATAGTAACATACTACTATCATAATAGTTTTATAAACTAACAGGTCTAATTAAAGGTCTAATATCTCATTTCTTTTGTTTGCCATGATGACACTTAAAGAGCCCCTATTGTGGGTTTTTAAAAACTACCTTCCATGCAGGGTGTAACACAGCTCTGAGTGAATGGAAACATCCAGTTGAGGTTTAAATCTGAAAGTGCACCGTGTTTTGAAACTATTGATTCTATTTAGTCAACTCATAGTCAAACTAATGATTCAATCTTTTTTTTTTTTTGGATCTTTTGCCTGCATGCGTCAACGTCCATATGAGACATTGCCAAATATGTAGTGCCAGATCTGGTAAAACGTGAACGTGCCTTTCCTTTCAGACTCTAGCAGAGTGCCAGGGATCATGGAATTGTTCATGACGTGAAGATTACTTTCACTGAGAGATGGCCAGACATGCAGTGGGGAATAAAGGGTTAAAGTTTGTTTTCACGAATACAACACTACAGTATAGCCAGCCATGTGCTGTGCTTGTTTCTGTCATTTTTCTGATGATTGATACAATAACTTACTCTGCAGCACATGATTCGTCGGCTGTTGTTATTAGAATAATGGGCAGCAAAGACTACTGATGTATGGGACTTTGTCAGTAGCTGTTACACAGTTTATATGGACCAGTTTCGTCTGCCTCCAGACCCTGTAAGTGTTTCTGTTTCCTACACGACATGAAGTGTGATTAAAAAGGCTGTCTTGTTTTCTGTAGTTTGCAAAATATGTATTTAGTAGTGTGTTGTAACTTGTAATTACATCTTTTATAAATTAGTGCTTTTAATGCATCCTCTCAGGTTAAATCTTTATGGGGCTGTTTACATATTAAATCCAAAACCATGTTAAAAAAAAGCAACATGCGCATCTGCGTTTTGTGCTTGCGACCTCCTGCTGTTTGTTGCTATGGCCATCGTCCGCTGTTGCTCACGCGTGTGGCGCAGTCGATTTTCAAAATAGTTAAATGTTTGCCACTGTTTGGATTATTACTGAATGTGTGTTGTTGTTATTACTTGGGGTTAGGATTAAAAGTAGGGTAATATGCTGGTGTTTAACTGCATTGCATTAATGCATTCCTGCATTGCAATCACGCATATACGGTACTCTGAACGCTACTTCAAAACTGGGCTGGAATTTCTCTCCATCTCGCGCTGATTTTATATATATATATATAT